GAGAAATGACCAGGGACCCAACAATCAACAGAGCTGTCATCACAGAATAGGTTTTGATAGAAGAATAGAGCTATACCTTTGATTTGCTCTGTATCAAAAACCCATTCCTCATTGTCATTCTTAAGGGCTTCAATTTTATTTCTCCGTCTTCTCCCATTCGCATTAATCCGCAAACCTGAAAGTATATTCCGGCCTGGTGTTTCTCCTCTTTTTGGCTCCTATTCGCATTAATAGAGGCCTATGATCAGACTTAAAACAAAGGAGATGTAAGACCGAAGCATCAGCATAGGAGTTAAGATTAATTTTACTTGGGTGTATTTTAATATCCTCCTTTTTCTTTAATGATGGTCTGAAAGTAATGCATTTTCAAAATTCAGAAATAAATTGTTTTCTTAGGAGAAAAAACTTGATAAAAAGTTTGAAGGGGTATTTTATTATTATTTGTGCACTTTTTAAGGCAGATTCGTTAAATTTTTTTTTGGTTGGTTCCGTATAGATTAGGATGCATATAATATATATATATATATTTCTTATAAAATTAAAAACAAGATTAGGATGTAGTTGACTTTTTTAAACACACTATGATCACAGTTGGAAAATTTGAAAATAAAAAGGAAGGAAAAGAATAAATTGAATATTTTCTGTCTCAAATTCGAGATTAATTTATGATGAAAATCTGTGCTAAAATTAATTGTTCTGATTTTCGAGCTATTTCAGTATTTTGTAATGATTAATAGGAGACAAAAGTATTAGTATTAAAAACATGGAAAAGGAATAATTTATTTTGACTTTTTTTTAAATTTAATCACTCTATGTGATTAAGGTTTGGAAAATTTGGAAACAAAAAGGAAGTGAAAGCACAGAGCCACAGACTGATCTAAAATTCGATTCCTTATTATCTTTTTAATTTTGGGAGGTCGGGTAATAAAGAAAACTTTAGAGATGTAAATATCTTACCAAAAGTAATTGTCCCGATTTCTATTTATTTTCTAATAATTAAGAGTGAGAAAAAACTGAAAAAATAATATGGTATTATTAGTAAGAAGTTAGGAAAGGAAATATCTATATTTTTCAAAAATTGTCAAAATCATAGGGTTAAGCATAATATTTTTAAATAAAAAATTTACGAATACCTTAAATAAATTGTCGAATTGATGCAAAACAGTTTCACAGCTTAAGCACTGATGGATCTAATTTATCCTCATCATTATGATAATAATATTTGAATTTTGCTTTGATAAAATATGAACTTTCCAAAATGCGATTCCTTGTAATTATTTCCATATATAAAGGATGGTATTAGGGTTTTAATTTCGAAAATCTAAAATTAAATAAAAAAAACACTTGTGACCATTAAGATTTTTTTTCCCCTCCATGTGATATCCCTCCAATTCCAATCTTTGCTATTTTGATGAATTTTATTTATAAGACCACATGTATTGGTCTTTAATACAAACTCCTTATAAAACTCAATAAAACACTTGTGACTCATATTAAAAGGATATTCTCGCCTGTAAAATTTGTTTATATCTAACTAATTTTAATTAATTTTCTTAGTCTGAGGACTATAGTTATTAATATGGTTTTACAGCAAAGGTTGAACAGATGGCGTATAAAACATTTTTTTTACTGTTCTTATATAAGACCCTCCTTGCATATCATGCCCATAAATCTTGTTTATAAAATATCCATCCAAACAATTGCAAATTAAATAGGAATACTAATTGTAAATTAAGAGTTACAGTTGAAACTTAAATGCCTTATTTGTAAATGAGCCTCTTAAATTTGCAACTACTTAATTCGATATATGCAATTCATTTTAGGAAGAAATTTTTTTTCAACTCGCTACAAAAAAAATTGTTTTTCCTTTGCTACAGTTATTTTATCGCAATTTTAACTAATATAAGCATTTGTTACGGTTTTGCATCCAATGACGACAAATATGCAATAATGGACCTGTTTGAAACAGCTTATAAGTAACTTATAAGCTGTTTTTTAATAGTAATTTATGAAATACGAGATAAGTATGTGAGAAGAGTTTTGTTTCGACTTAGGTGAAACATGCTTATAGCAGATTTTCACCACTTTGTCAAACGGGACCAATGACAAGTGTGTAACGACACTTATAGTGATTTTGCATGCAAATACTACAAAATTGTGATGTGAACAATTGGCATTGCATGGCAGGAGAATTGGTTTCAAATATTAGAAGCGCTTCATTGCCAAAAAGCGCTACTAATAAAACAACAGTTTGATTTTACAGCCGTTCGTTAGAACCACTACAAAATCAAATTATATTTTTAATGGTTCTGATCAAACCGCTGCAAATATTTTCCAATCTCAACATTTGTAGCTATTCGGACAGTGATTCCCTATCCAATCTAAACAAGTCGTTATAATCGATGATTTTTTTTTTGAAAGACAAACTTTTAAAATTTGACAAGCATTAGCTCATTTTAATTAACCTTTTTATCTGCACAGATTTATTAATACTAGTATTATAGTATATCCTTATTTATAATAAAGTATTGTCCCATTCAAGAATAATTGAAGGAGTATTTTTCCTGCACCGTGTCAAAAAAAAAGTCAGAGAAAGTTTGGTGCCGACACCAAGTATACTTTACACAGCAATGTTTTAACACATCAACGTGGTATATGAGCAGTTGAAACATGTGCAATGGCTAAACGATAGACGACCGTGTTTGTGTGTTCACATTAATTATTATAGAGAACAAAGAAGATGTCGCCATATGCAAAACTTGCTCTAATAATTATAAACGAAGTTTGATTTTAAATACACAAGTTAAATAATTAATTTAAGGATATTAATAAAATCAATTAAATTAGTTATTATTGATAATAAATATGCATTGAGTTTTCTAAATTATCATATTTAGTCATGACTCCCATTAATAGAAACATTGTTTAACATATGCGATTAATAGAAAAAATTTAAGAAAAAATAAAAATATTTATTAGGGGTGGAGTTGTTTATTACAAAGAAAAAAAAATAAAGTTGAAAAGTTGATAAATTTTAAGACAGAGTTGATAAGATTTAAAGTTTTTCTTAATTCTTACAAAGCATATTAAGAGTGACTTATAAATAGAATTGGATTATGTATATATCCAAAATGTTGTCAAAATCATTATATGGGAAGGAAAAGTTGGTTGGAAAAATTGAAATTCAAAATTTGCATATTGTAAATACACACATCTTTAATTACGTGCAGGAATATTAAAAATTGAAACAAGAAACTTGAATTTGAAAGCTGTAATTAATCTAATAAATAAAAAAAATCATCATATAGATTAAAAAATGTCCAACTATGATAAACAGGTGATACTGACGGCGAAACAACAATTAAAAAAAAAAAAAACTAAATTATGCCTGGGACTAGATGACGGTGTCGTCTCCTTAGCCAGGCGACATGACTTTATGTAGCGGGGAGAATTCCAATGAGCAGCTTTTAAGGAAAAAAATAATTATTAAAATTTTTTTAATAATAAGTAAGAAATTATTATTTTTTATTCTAGACCTTATTATTATATGCCGTTTTATTGTTATTAAAATTTTTTAATAATTATATTTCTTATTTAGAGTTTTATAGCAATTCTCCCTGTATAATAAGTTGAGCCATTTTTTTAAATAAAAAGAAAAATTTAATTTATTCAAGCAATATAAAAGGTTAATCGATGGATAAACTATCTGGATTCAGCCCTTCATGTCAGATGAGGACATAAAGTATACATGAGAGTCCAGCTTCGGTAATTTTTAGCTAATTTCAACTAAATTTTTTATTTGCATTTTATATATCGAATCGAATTGACTGTGTGTATGAAGTGGATGAAATGTTGGGTCCATTAATAAAATATAATTCATAAAATATATGCCATTTGGAAGAAAGTAAGTATAATAAGAAAATCTAGAGGAGGAGATTTCACATTGGAATTATTATGGCTGTTTTCCATTTGACTGATTATTATACTGCTCCAGTACTTAATATAAAATATTTTTAACTAATTTGATTAGATTAAAGAAGTTAAGTAAATTAGTTAATTATAAAAAATATGACATGTTTTTCCTAAAATACCATAATCATCTTCCTTAATATCTTTTCTCCCTCTTCTACTTCATTTTGGTTAAGAAAGATCCAAAATCAATTCAATAATTAGGTCCTATATTAAGGACCGGAAAAATAATAATTAGGTTACATCTTTTAAATTGAATTAATATATTACGATGAAAAGATCAGAAGACGTATTCTCCCACACGCTCTTTTACCATCATATTCCCTCTAAATAATCCCACCATGTTTGTCCGCGTCAACTCCTTCCATTGACTTTGTCCATATAGCCCACACATCCTCGGAAATAATTCACACAATCAGAACCATATTCTCAATTTTAAATTTTACCTCCCGTGCCTAATAGAAGACCTGTAAACTAATTTAAAAAATTAATAAAACTAAATAAATCATTTTAAAACATTTATATTTATTAATTTTTTTCAAACTAATTTGTCTATCTTATAAACTGATATATAATCTAATAATACACGTACAAAATATTTTAGAAAAATCATGTAATATTTTTCATAATTAAATAATTTATTTAGTTTCCTTAATTTTTTCAAATTAATTAGCTAGATCTTATATTAAAAATTTGAAGTGGTACTTTACATAATAGGAAGTACACGTACTATGAAATAACAAGGAAGCTCCTTCGTATTGAAACCGGCTTGTTCAACCTTTGAAGCATTAGTGCCAGGGATTAATTAATTAATTAAAGCATTAAATTATAATAAATTTTGGTAGCCACGGTCAAGTGCTGTAACTATATAAAGGGTTGGATAATCCATGTTAGATCACCAAGCAAATTAGAGAGAGAGAGAGAGTTGGAGATAGCTAGAGAGAAGAAGATCATGGGAAGCACAATGAAGCCAAGGCAGTGGCCTCAAATCATACTCGCAACGGCAATTTGCCTAGTTGCTATCAATAGTGTTAGTGCTGATTATGACCCTTATTCTCCACCTCCACCAGCTTCTTCACCCCAACCTTCATATTACTACAAGTCTCCGCCTCCACCTTCTCCATCACCACCGCCTCCATATTACTATAAGTCACCACCTCCATCTCCATCACCACCTCCACCATATGCGTACAAATCGCCTCCTCCTCCATCTCATTCACCACCACCTCCATATTACAAGTCTCCACCTGCATATTACTATAAGTCTCCACCTCCTCCTTCTCCATCGCCACCTCCACCATATGTGTACAAATCACCTCCTCCACGATCTCCATCACCACCGCCCCCGTATTACTACAAGTCTCCACCTCCACCATCTCCTTCATCACCTCCACCATACATGTACAAGTCGCCCCCACCTCCATCTCCATCACCACCACCTCCATATATTTACAAATCTCCCCCTCCTCCTTCACCTTCACCTCCTCCACGATATGTGTACAAGTCTCCACCACCCCCATCCCCATCACCGCCTCCTCCATATATTTACAAGTCCCCACCCCCACCATCTCCTTCGCCACCACCTCCTTATATCTACAAGTCTCCACCTCCACCATCCCCATCACCTCCTCCACCATATGTGTACAAATCTCCACCACCCCCATCCTCATCTCCACCTCCTCCATATTACTACAAGTCTCCGCCTCCTCCTTCTCCCTCTCCCCCTCCGCCATACATCTACAAGTCTCCACCTCCTCCATCATCTCCTCCTCCTCCAAATTACTATTATAAATCACCTCCTCCTCCCTCTCGTGGCTACTAGTCATCATTTCATAAAGTTTCGAAGATTGTTCTTAATCTAATTTGAATTGTTTCAATGATACTTTTATATTCATTATTTCTGTTTGTATTCAATACTTTCACAAATAATAGGGTTTAAAATAAAATGAATATCTCATAGGACATTTCTTCTTGTGATGATGTATGCGATACCATTTGTTATCAGGTGAATAATATGGACGAGTTTGATTTCTTGATGTATTTCTATGCCAAATTTTATAATTTGATGGAGTTAGTTAAGGTTTTATTTGTTTTATTTCCCTTAATTGTACATCGTCCCTTCTCAATAAGATTCAGGATCCCAGAAATTAAAATTTGCAAAATAAATAATCAACTTTTTCCAAAACGATGCTGATCAAAACCAAATTGTTTTTAGAGATTGATAGCTTTTTTTCAATTATTATTAAATATAAAAAACCTTGAGTGTAATTCAGTTATGCTATAAGATGGTTCACGTACAAGCTCCAAGCAAGAAAATATAAATACAGCTAATTAGCGATCAATCACTTGCTAGTACTAAAACGACTTTCTAAACCTGGTAAAGATGGCTCTCAAGCCGTATCTAAAATCAGACTGGATAAGGGCAAAAAAGTCAAACACTCTTTAAGCTGGTTGTAAAATCGCCCTGGACGGGTATTTTTCAGACCGTCCCCACCAGCCAGTCCAAAAAGTTCCAAAAAACCCAAAGAAAAGGTGGGGGGAAGGGGGAGAGAGAGAGACTGGTCATGGCAAATGAACATGGCGGGCTATTTCTTAACTTTTTCTGCTCTGCTTTTTAATATAAAAATTAAATAATTAATTTATAAATATTAAAAAATTAATTAAATTAATTATTTATAATAAATGAGTTTTGTTTTTTATAAAATAATCTTGCCAATCATATTTATTAGTATGAAAATCCTTTAATATCTATTGTTATCATGAGAACTCTTTAAAACCTTTATCTTTTAGTTGAGAAAAAAAAAATCCCATCTTTAATTTCCAAATTATAGACAGGTAAAAGGGTTTCCATTGAAGTGGAGAGATTCATAATTAGATGTGAAGTTACGACTATCTAAGTCTATTGCATATATTAATATGCTTAGAGGCACGAGGGGGGAATAAATTCCTTTTCTCCTTCTAATTAAATTTGTTTGATGAGTAAAGAATTACTCCTCTTATGCTATTTATAATTCACTTTCAATATGTTTCACACAAATTGAAAAAAATCTTAAATTTTATTAACTTTCACTTAAAATTTAATAACTTTTCAACTCATGCGAGTTATTATATTGGAATTCCTTTTTCACTAAGATTTTCGCCTTTTACCACAAATGTAACTATAAATGTAAATGTATCCCTATTTAATACATATTATACCTTATGTAAACAAAGTTAACATAATAATAAATGAAAGGTAAAATTGTACATCTAGGCAAAAAAAATTTCTCTTAGTACTCTATAAATAGGATTAAAAAATATCTTTTTTTTTTTGCCCTATAAATAAAACCAGAAGAGTATCATGGTATTAAACACAGTTGTTTAGTTAACCTTGCGAGCCAATAAACCAGTTTTTAAGCCAGTTTAATCAAGAGTTTACGGTCAAACCCTGTCATTTTGAGTTTCAAAAAAGTAATAACAGTCCATTAGAGTTATGCTTGAATAATTTTGTTTTGTTGGATTATATGTAGTTTATAAATGAAATTAAAAGAAATCTAACATATATATTACTCTAATTTCTTAGACTCAAACAGTAATTGACCTAAAGTTTAAGAGGGTCCAGCATGTTACAATCTAAATTTCCTAATCCATGTCAAATGCCACGCTATTTACTCTGATATGATGGTTTCTCTCAATAACTTAATAGCAAAAGTAATGACGAGAAATTCAATGACAAAAGCTAGAACTTTCAAAAGGTTAAATTTAAATTTTAAAATATTAGGAAAATTATATGTAATTGACATAAAATTGGCAGGTTTTGTAAATTTTAATTTTAAGTATTATTTTTTTAGGGTTTAGGTTCTTTTATAATATTTTCATATATTTTAATTAAAGTACAATATTTTAATTATGATTATGTTGACCCAAATTTAATCATAATTAAATCACTAACCTTCCAATCATTATTTCAACCGATTTAATAGCCTATCCCACTTTCGTTACCTTGGTAATGAGAGGGCATATTGTAACATCCTTTCAAAAAAATTATTATTTCAAAAGAAAATAATTAAATAATGTAAAATAATAATATTTTATTTAAAAAAGAGAAAGTGAAAAAAATACACATTTTCCACTGAATTAAGTGGAAAGGTGAGAAAATTTAAGAATAAGAATAATATTGGAGGGAACTCATTTACTGAAGGAAGAAACACGGGAGGTGTATTAATGAAAGAAGGAAAAATAGGAGAGAACGGTTGGAGTTAGAAGGATAAATGGAGGAGTGAGGTATTAGCAAAGAAGAGAAAGAGAGAGGGAGAGGTGCAGAAAGAGGGATCAAGAGAAAGGCAGGAAAGGCCACTGGCCGTTTGGCCGAGTGGCGTGGGTGTGTGTTGGATGCGTGTGTTGTGGGTTCGATCCCGTCCTGTTGTAATAAAAAAAAAGAGAGAGAAAGGCAGGAAAGTGTTAACAATTTGAAGGGTAATACAAGTTTTGGAGATCATTAAGTACATAAAAACATTTCTTTCTATTAAATTTTCTTTATAAATATTTTCATATATAATTAGAGCTTTATATTAGTAATATCATTATAATGTTTAGAGAAAATTTTGTGATCTGGGTATAGAGTAAGTACTGAGTTTTGACAATAAATGACTATAGAAATTTAGAGGTAAATGAGTAGTTACTTTTAATCGATTTAAATTTTTCCATTTGTTACTTTTGGTATTTAAAATCAAATTTATTTTGTTAAAAAATCTGTCATTTATGATATATATCATATTTATACCTATTAAAATTAAGTAAAATAATTTATTTGGATTATTTGATATATAATCAGTTTATATTTATTTATTTATTGTTTTGAGAATTTTAAACTAAGATTTTAGTTGAAAAATGTATTATTCAAGATATATAGAATGTTTTTACCGATTAAATTTAAGTTAAATAATTTATTTAGGTTATTTGATATATTATTAAGATTTTAATCAGTTTAAAATGTGAAATAGGTTAAGTATATGTTACTAGAAAATTTTGAAGCTGAAAAATTAATTTATAAATTAAGAATTTTACAATATTAGATAAAAAAAACAGTTATGTATATAATTTGAATGAGTTATTTGGGTAAAGAAAAATTTTTATTTGAAGTAAGAATTTTTGGGTAGTAAACATATATATAAATATATTAATAATAATAAGTCCTATATAATTTAAGTTATTTATTTCTATGTATATTAAATTGTATCTATATTATTTGTAGATTATCTTGTACTTCGGAATTTATAATTTGTGTTCTTATTTCTCAAACTGTAAGGTTAAGCTTGGAATAGAGATAACCGAGGTTAATTGATTTTATATACATGCTTTGGATTGTAAGATGTTTACTATGCTTTTATCTTCTCAAATTAATTTGTGAAAATATATCTATGAATAAAGTATGTATTTTCTTATATGACAAATTCTGGTAAAGTGGGAATTATGTTGATTTAATTATGCTTGAGTTGTATTTTACTGGGAATTATGTTTTCATGTGCTGAATTTGGTATACTAATATTTTGTTATTAAATAAAATAAAAATGTGTTGTACTTTGTTTGGAATTATATCATCTTAATTTTAAGAATTATGATATTTTTAATTTATATTGTAACTACGCATGGGGTCTATATGTAGAGGTTGAGATCTTGATATATGAAGGATAATTGTTCTTGAAACCCGTGCGGCATGCCTACACTACTGATCATAGTGTTTGGCTTTTTTTGTTAAACCCCTATAGTTCTTTCTTTTCCTCAGCTTGGAATTGAGAACGAGCTTTTGGGTAGACACCTCTTGCACCATAATCCATTTTTGGGCTATGTAAATATAAAAGGCAGCCTGTTGCTTGACTTGAGTGGGGTGACTTTTGGTTGAGTTATTCAGCACAAAAAGCCCAGGTCCTTATCAGAGAGTCATAAGGAGGAGTATAGTAATGGGATGACATATTTCATTATGTTGCTGTGTATGTATACTTTTGTATAAATTGGGTTGTGGATGGTGAGATATACTCCTTTCAAATGGTTATATCTATTAAAATTTCATTTATTACTTAAATTATATTTAAGCACTAGTTTACCAACTTGTCATACTACTTATATATGTCATAAATTAATTTTTAGTTACTGGGAATTTATGTCTCACCCTGCTATTTAGTAATAATTTTCAGGAGAGCTATCTAGTTTGGCTCGGAGCAAAGGAAAGCAACCAGAGGCATAGGCGAGCATAACCTAGTAGTCTTCTTTTTGTTTGGACATGTAATGTTATATATATTGCCATCTTATGGTCTATGATTTTGTTAACATATATTTTCTTTTGTTTGATTATTGAATGACTGTATTTGATGGAGTGCTGTTAGAATAGCTAGAGGCCATAAAATTCTATTGTATGTGTTATTCTTACGTGTATGACTTGTGGGCTGGGCTAAGCATCATGTGTTTTTTATGCCTTAAATATTTATGAGATGAATATTTATGTTGAACTTGTGAGCGATTACTATGTCATGAGTCCTTGTTGTACGTGTTATTAAACTTATAGGTGTTTTATGTATCCTGAGCTTTTGAGATGTTTTCAAAATAAGACAAACTCTTTATAACCATGGTAGTATTTTAGCATTCTCACTCAATTATTTTTCTACCATGGTTATCATCTTAAAAAGCGATTTTATAATTATGTATTAAGAAGATGTCTTTTCACATACTATAC